TACGTGTGTATATATACTATATATATATATATATATATATATATATTTATATATATACATACATACATACATACAGTATATACACAGGTATATCGATTTTTGGCAGTGCTGCAGACAACTCTAATTCAGTGCCCATGTTTGCAGCATTATTTGATTGGCATGATTCCTTTAGTGAATCAGGTGCTGAAACAACACAGATAGTGTGTGCAAAATAAACAGTGCACATACAAACAGAGTGTAGGTTGCATATATTGGTTGCATTTCTGAATCTTGCGTCTTTGTGGTGAGCTTTTATTGAAATGTGTTTGAGTTGCAGACAAAATCATGACTCTGAGATGCTGAAAAGAGCAGTCACCTCACACAGAGAGTTTCAGTTCCACTGCGACTGTCTGAAGCTATTTGAGGGACTGTCAGGCACACTTTTAGGAGTCGCCTCTTGTGCATACATGTGAGAACGAAGGAAATCTGCTAGAGAACAATCAGCCAGTTTGGCAGCTTTCTGTGCCAGCTGTAAGAAGACAGACTCGGTTCTGCCGTTACTGCTGAAGTGGATTATGCACAAACTGAAAACAAACCTTGATTCCATTCTGGATCTGGTTTAGTTAAAGGGGGCATAACACACACAGTTTCACCCAATCTCATGTTAATCTTGAGTGCCTATAGAGTAGTACTGCATCCTTCATATCTCCAAAAAGTCTTTAGTTTTATCATATTTATAAAAGAAAGATACAACTTTACGATTCTCTCCGGAAAAAGCAGAGCTCCTGGAGGCATGCCGTGGGCGGAGCTAAAGAGTGACGAGCACTTGAGCGCCGAATGCCAACAAAACAGACATTTGATGCCGTTTCACTTACCGTCTGCAGTTCTGAATCATGACCGGGATCTTTTATCAGTGGGACCGCTCCATCTTTCAGTATCAAACGATGTGCAAATCCAGCGTTGAACTGGGCCTTGTTTATAAAACGTTCGACAACAAACACACTTGTGAAACTCCGTTGCTTCCCCCGGAAAAACAAACTGTATCCACTGTTTACATAACGCTGGGTTCTTTAGGAAGCTGAACAAAGTTATCTTTTCCTTACAACCAAAAACACACTTCTTTGGATTGGAGACATTCTTCCCGAGCAAGTCCCGTGCAGCGCTGCCGCCGGATGAAGCACTTTGATAGGCGCGATCTTTATGGAGATAGAATTGTTGCTTAATTCCAAATAAATAGATTACGATCCATAAATAAATGTAAAGAGATTAACAAACATTAAACATATTGACAAATAAATAGAATGAGATCCACAAATAAATGGATTGGAGACATTCTTCCCGAGCAAGTCCCGTGCAGCGCTGCAATGAAGCGCGTTGATAGGCGCGATCTCGCTCTCACTCTGGTCGAAAAAAATCATCAAAATCTCTTCTACACACAGAGGCCAGGGGTTTGAGGGAAAAAAAAAGAACCAGATCAGGTAGGATGGGAGGTGTGAACTGAAAATACATTTGACGGAGTTTCTTATCCATTATAAGATGTAGGTGAACAGCCAGCTGGTCTCTAAATGTAGGCCGTTTGTATGTGCTAAAGTGCATTTTAGTGATCATGCAAAATATATATGCAGTTGTGCCATCCACATTTTGCAGTGCAGAAATGTAGCCACGGTGCAGCATTGCTCAGATGGTTCCTCACGCTCACTGTAGCTTTAATTCTTTAACCATAGTGTCCACTTTAAAAGCTTTTCCAATCCAGGCTCTTCTGCAGCGTCTGTGTTTATGACTGCAGGTCATGAGTCTAGAACTCTCAAATCTCAATGAAGAAACAACCAGAAAGCTCAGTTTTCCTGCTTTTCCCAGAGAACATCATATTTTTCGTAATAACACATCCATATTTTCATGTTTATTTAAAGTAATTCAGCAAGGATGCGTTAAATTGATCAAAAGTAACAGTTTATAATGTTACAAAAGATTTCTGTTTCTAATAAATGCTGTTCCTTTGAAATTTCTATTCATCTTTTTTTCCACAAAAGAATAAGCATATCGAGCAATGGTTTTTAACATTGATAATAAAAGTGTTCAGTGTTTCTTGAGCAGCAAATCAGCATATTAGAACGATTTCTGAAGGATCATGTGACACTGAAGACTGGAGTAATGATGCTGAAAATTCAGCTTTAATATCACAGGAATACATTACATTTTAAAAGATATTAAATGACTGTTTTGGTGAGCATAAGTGACTTGTTCTGGTGTCCTCATCATGCTTTTTAACCAGCTTAACCCACAAAACTTCCTTTATAAACCAGTGTTGGTCGAATACTTCCACTAGTTTTGCTGGTCAACAGCAAGGCTATTGAATGGCACACAAGCAGTATAAACCAGCTCGAATCATGAATTCATGTCGGTCTAGCCTGGTCTTTTCAACAGGGTTATGATGAGGATGGTTTTTAAAAAGTTGCATGAAGTTTGTGAGACAACCAACAGACCCAAAACGGTCCTTTAATACCACAATCACAGTCCAGATGAAATCAATAAAGAGGCACATTTACAAGAACGGGAAACTAAAGGGTGTTAGTGTGCAGGACATACAATATTTTGCAAAGACTCAAGTGACTAAGCGTTGCAGGAAATGCAGAACAGGTGTGCATGTTACCGTGATCATTAGTGTGCTGAATGGAACTTTTGATGATGGAACTGGGAATCACTGGAATCCTGGTGAATTTGAAATTTGAATCAAATGTGTGCATTATATTACAGATTGAGCGGCGCCTTGAAAATGTGCGACTGGTCTCTCATAATGCGCACAAGAGGATGGTCATGTGTCTGCAGGGTAACGTGGGCTCAGATGTGGAGAAGAGACATGTAAGTAACAGCTGCTTTTACATTTCCAAATCCCTCCGTAGTACACATTTCTGAATTGTTTTTTTTTTCCTCTTAGAAAAAGCTTCCTCTCACAGCCCTTTCACAATCCATGCTGGATGGAGGAAGTCAGCTCGGAGACGAGTCCCTCATCGGGTGAGTTTATAAACTCTTTGACAGACATGTATCCTCCAAAACCATCCCATTATCTGGTCCATCTGACCTGTGATTCATACCCATTATGAGAGAAATTTTGAGTCAAACAGAGAGGTGCTTTCAGGAACTGTTTCTGTGGTCTCATTAGCCATGTGACCAAACATCTCTGAATCATCTGTTATGTCAGGCAGTCAGTGTATTTACAGACCTGACCTGTGGAAATATAGAGTGCAAGCATCATTGTTACCCAACAACATTTATTAGTCCAGTGAAATTCATAATAGAGTGATGTAACATATTAAATTATTATTGTTCATGATGGAAAATGTGACCTCATGCTGCTTGATGATGATTGGTTGAATGATTAGCAAGAGTACATTGTTTTTTGGATTATGCTAGTTGTGTTTGATGTTATTTTATGGAATATAATACAACCAAGATATTTATTACCCATGTTTTAATTTATACAGCATCTTGTTTGACCAAAAATAAAAATGCAATGTTTTGTTGTCAATTTTTTCTTAAACGACTGATCAAATTATTTAAAATCTTATGAATTCATTCAAAAAGTAAAATAGTTGAGTTGCACACAAAACAGTTTATAAAATATTTTATTTATTTGAAATATATTTTTGCATTGTGAAATATTATTAAATCATAAACACAGAATGTGGGAAAATTAAATGGAAAACACAGAGTATATTTTGCATTGTGAAAACACAGAATCCAGAAAAAACAAACAAACATGGAAAACACAGAATATGGGAAAAAAAAAAAAAACCGATTTCACGAGGCCGTAAATTAAACCGTTGCTTATTCTGTTGGAGTTTACGTGTAAACAAACAAGTTATGGTTACATTCATTCTCAAGGTCTAACAAACATGTGGAATGCATTTCCTTCACCATTAATTGTTCAAAATGAATATTGTGATAAGAATCAATATCGAATGATATGGAAAAAAATGTTGTGATAATATTTTTATGAGCCAGTATGCCCAGCCCTATTGTTTAGAATCTGTTTAGCATGACCAGGCAGCATGTGTCCTTTGTGTGTTTGTATCTACAGGAAGATGATGGAAGTGTGTGGAGAAGCTGAAAGCAAACTGGCCTTTGAGCAGAGCCAACATGAAGTTCAGCTGGAGAGAGATATTCTAGAGCCTCTCAACCAGCTGGCGGAGGTACGTGAAGCCAAAGACATGCTAATAACCTGCTTTTTAAACATGCACTGTAGGTTACATCTCTGTTTTTGTGCTTGAAGGTGGATATTCCTAACCTTTTGAAGCAGAGGAAACATTTAGCCAAGCTTGTGTTGGATTTTGATTCTGTAAAAGCCAGGTGTGTATATATACTACCGATTTGGGGTCAGTACTAGGGTTGTGACGGTGAGGAAATTTTCCCACCGGTTAATCGACGTGTGACAACACCGGTAATACCGTGGGGGCGGGGGCGTTCCCTCTTTTCCTCGCTTTCCTTATCTTTTAAATAGCTTGTAAAAGCGGCATGCGCATTTTACTTTCACTTTCAAATAGCGGCAATTCGGCGTAAAGCAATTGTTCGTTTTTAGTTCGTTTGAATTTTCCCTCTTTTCCTCACTTTCCTTCGCTTTTAAATAGCTTTAAAACGCCATGCGCATTTTACTTTCACTTTCGAATTAGCGGCAATTCGGCATCAATTGCTTGAATGCAACAACAAAATACAACGGTCAAACTCACTTTAGCCTATATATAAAACAGAACTTTTATTAACAAAACAAATAAAAATACACCATGCTATAGGGCAGGCTATGCCTAATATAAAATAACAAATAACTTACATAAAGTTTAAATAGGTATACAAAACTGGAAACAAGTAAACATGTATAATATATAACCAAATAAATAAGAAACGTAAAACGTTTATTAGCAAAACAAATGTCAAATAAAATAAATAAATGACACAGTTTAAATAAAGTAAAAATCAGCAAACAATGTGGAACCAATTAAATAAGAAACAAATGTTTAAAAAAACTTCCAAAATCACCTTAGATAAACGGCAAAAATCAATAGGCTTTTCAAAATCCAAAATATTGCCAAACAGGCGCATTTGCATTTCGTTTCGAAACTAAATCATCCGCGATCGTCTCGTCAGTCAGCTCGACTCACTCTCCTCACTGGAGAAATGAAATCTGATCTGTGATGCAACTGTCGTTCGGCACGCTGCATTGAGCAGCCGCGTTCAGTTTTTAATTGTAGTGTCTGTTCTTTTACTGAACTAAATGATTTTTATTACTATAAAAAAATCAAAACGACGGTGGGGGTCGGTGCCGCGGTAGGCAAGTGACGTAACCGGTGTTGCGGCTTAACCATCACCGTCAGCACCGTCTATCGCGGCAAGCCTAATCAGTACGATAATATTTTATTTTTATTAATACTTTTGTTTAGCTAGGATGCATTAAATTGACCAAAGGTGACAGTAAATATGTTTGTAATGTTGCAAACTATTTTTTTTTTCAAATAAATGCTGTTCTTTTGAACTTCATCAAGAGAGCCTGAAAAAATCTTGATATCACGATTTTGATAATAATAAATGTTTCTTGAGAAAATCAGCATATTAGAATGATTTCTGAAAAATCATGTGACACTGTAGACTGGAGTAATGATGCTGAAAATACAGCTTTGATCACAGGAATAAGTTGCATTTTAAAATATAATCAAAGAGAAAACAGTTATTTTAAATTGAAATAATATTTCACAATATTACTGTTATTACTGTATTTTTGATTTAAAAAATGCAGCCTTGCTGAGCATAAAAAAACGTTGCTCTGAATAATAGTGAAAATACTCTGGTAATACAGGTATCAGCAGGCCACAAAGGCGTATCCATCAGCTGCAAATGCTCAAGCAATGGCTGCCAAAGTTGACACAATTAAAGAGGAGATGGATGAAGCTCAGAACAAAATGGAAATATGCAAGGTATGGATATGTGTCAGATTTTATTGCGGTTTTTAGGCAACCCTCGGTAGCACATTAAATCTAGTTTGATCTCTTTTTGTCTTTAGGATCAACTGGCAGCAGACATGTACAACTTTTCCTCCAAGGAAGGAGAATATGCTTGCTATTATGTGTTGGTAAGTCATTTCTAAGAGCAGAATACAGAAGACAAATAATGTCTGATAAAGTTCGATTTATACTGGAATAATGAATTTAACTTGCAAATAAGGTATCAGAATAACCTTTAATTATAACACTGATCATCATTAAGAAACCGGTCAAAGATCAATGGTATTCATAGGTCTTCCTACTATACACTAGTAGCATATCCGGTCAGTGGAGTTAACTTAAATGAATAAAGCTGTTGTTTATATACTATATTTTACAGTATATAGGCAATTATTAGATCATTCAGTCACAAAATTTTCGTTTTCTCAAACAAAAATAGAAAAAGTGTGAAGTTTTTGTGTATTTGTCTTGACAGTTGGTAGAAGCTCAAGCTGAATACCACAGAAGAGCTTTGGCGTCCATCGAGAGTGTCCTGCCCAGCATACAGTCCCAGCAAGGTGTGATAGTTTCTCTTCACTTCCTGGACAGTCCTGCACTGAGCATCTGCTGGATAAATGTTGCATATGAATCACTCACAATGTTTCTGAAATCATGACCTTATTAATAGCAATTAAACACAGAGAATATTATGGGGGATGTGTTTTGTATTCTGAAACAGAGAAGATATTTATCTGATCTCTACAATTTCCAAACTGAGTCAGGTACCTCACAAACTAAAAGAGCGAATCTCACAAAATCTGTCAAGAACATGTCCACCTACTGTATATAGAATTGCTATGTATATATAAAAATTATGCTTTTTGCATTGTGACATTGATGTCACAACAATTATATCATTTATTGTATAGTTAATTTATATGTATATTTAATTTTCATATCTCAATAATAAAATAAATGCTTTTTATATATATATATATATATATATGTGTATATTAGAGAGAGAGAGAGAGAGAGAGAGAACATGTCTGGGTCATATTCACCCTAAAAACAAAAGAATATATCTTGCATTAATAAATTATGGCTTTTTTTGCATTTGTGACATTTATTGTCATGACAATTAAGCACATTTACCCTTAAAATTCTTATTAGTGTAATGTAAAATAACCTGATTTGTCAATACTGTCATTCGTTTTTAGACACTTTAGATTTTTTTACAGTAATAAAATAAAAGTATTTTATTTATTTTCATTGTATTGACAATATTTATAGAACATGTCTGGGTGTGTGTGTGTGTCTGTGTTTTTAAACAAATTATCGTATAGTTAATTTATATTTATTTTTTATTTTATGTAAAAGCTTCATATTATTTTATATATAGATTTTTTTTTATAGATTGTTTTTTTGTGTGCGTGTGTGTGGCCCAGGCATGTTTTTGACAGATTTTATGAGATTCACCCAAAGATCTGGCTAGTCATCAAGCTATGAATCATTCTTTCTCTTTCAAAGCTTCCTGGTGGCCAGCACTATAATGTATCCTGTTTCACACTGTTAAGGTTTTATGCACGTTGACATCCTGGCTTACAGATTTATTTTATGTAAAAGCTTCATATTATTTTATATATAGATTTTTTTTTATAGATAGTTTTTTTGTGTGCGTGTGTGTGACCCAGGCATGTTTTTGACAGATTTTATGAGATTCACCCAAAGATCTGGCTAGTCATCAAGCTATGAATCATTCTTTCTCTTTCAAAGCTTCCTGGTGGCCAGCACTATAATGTATCCTGTTTCACACTGTTAAGGTTTTATGCACGTTGACATCCTGGCTTACAGAATCTGTGTTCCACACACCCACCTAGTGATGATTCTTAAATGTTTCCTGCCATAACTCAAATCATTCTCTCTTCATCTCATCATCTGACATAGATAAATGGACAGAGAAGCCAGCGTTTGGCACGGCTCTGGAAGAACATCTGAAACGCACTAGCAGAGAGATCGCTCTGCCCTTAGAGGCCTGCATTATGATGCTATTGGAAACCGGCATGCAGGAAGAGGTATCTGACAATGTGAAACAACACGAGAACCCACAGATGAAAAGACGTGTTGGTTTTCAAGTGGATGCACATTGTTACTGCATACACAATGGCGGATAGTTGTCATTTTCAGGGAAGTGGTCAATGTTTCTGCCTTTTGAATATTTTGCAAAGGGCAATTTTGTACAGAACCAGTTTTAAATGGTTGAATGACATTTATTTGACATGCATTTCAAAAATAAAGTTGCATAGTTGTCAGAATCCAAATAAAAGGGGTTGCAACTTGCAAGTTAACATTTTATGTTATTAATATCAAGCTTTTAAAACCTGCCTGTATTCGCGTGTGTGTTGATCTTCTCAATATTTGTCTTTTATTCCTTTTGTCTCAGGATGGATGGATGGATGCATAGACATAGATAGAAGGATAGATGGATGATGGATGGGTGGGTAAATTATAAATAGATGAAGGATGGATGGATGGACAGACAGATGAAGGATGGATGGATGGACAGACAGATGAAGGATGGATGGATGGATGGACAGATGAAGGATGGATGGATGGATGGACAGATGAAGGATGGATGGATGGATGGACAGATGAAGGATGGATGGATGGATGGACGGATGGATGGAAAAATAGACTGTCGGATGAAGGATGGATGGATGGAAAAATAGACTGTCGGTGGGATGGATGGATGGATGGATGGATGGAAAAATAGACTGTCGGATGAAGGATGGATGGATGGAAAAATAGACTGTCGGTGGGATGGATGGATGGATGGATGGATGGAAAAATAGACTGTCGGATGAAGGATGGATGGATGGAAAAATAGACTGTCGGTTGAAGGATGGATGGATGGAAAAATAGACTGTCGGTAGGAAGGAAGGATGGATGGATGGATGGAAAAATAGACTGTCGGATGAAGGATGGATGGATGGAAAAATAGACTGTGGATGGAAAGACAGATGAAGGATGGATGGATGGATGGACAGACAGACAGACAGATGAAGGATGGGTGGATGGATGGATGGATGGATGGACAGACAGATGAAGGATGAATGGATGGATGGGTGGATGGACAGACAGATGAAGGATGGGTGGATGGATGGATGGAAAGACAGATGAAGGATGAATGGATGGATGGGTGGATGGACAGACAGATGAAGGATGGGTGGATGGATGGATGGAAAGACAGATGAAGGATGGGTGGATGGATGGATGGACAGACAGACAGATGAAGGATGGGTGGATGGACAGACAGATGAAGGATGGGTAAGGATGGATGGATGGATGGACAGACAGACAGATGAAGGATGGGTGGATGGATGGATGGACAGACAGATGAAGGATGGGTGGATGGATGGAAAGACAGATGAAGGATGAATGGATGGATGGATGGACAGATGAATGGATGGATGGACAGATGGATAGATGTTTGGATGGATGGATGATAGATGATGAATGAATGGTGGAGATGATAAATAGATAATTGATGGATGGGTGGATAGATGATAGATAAATGATAAATGGATGGCTGGGTGGATTAATGATAGGTAGATGATAAAGAAATGATGGATGGACAGATGGTTAGATGGATGGATGTATGGATGAATGAAGGGGTGGGTGGATAGATGATAGATGATGAATGGATGTATAGATAGATAGATAGACAGACCTTAATGATTTTTGAGAGTGTAGCATATTGAGTGATATATAGCAGTATATCTGTGTTAGAGATGGATAATGGGTGGAGAGATCTACTGATTCACTTCTGCTTCTTGGCTAAAGCCAGACTAATAATAGCAGTGAAACGAAACAATCATTTCCCTGTGAAACCATCACTGACACATATGAAAACAGCCTTTTCAGTCATTTTTGTAATACATAAGCATCTCAGTTTATAATGTACTGCACGTTGCAAAGGTCTTGTGTGTTTTCCACATTTCCTTTCGTGCCAGGGTTTGTTCCGTATCGCTGCTGGAGCCTCTAAACTGAAGAAGTTAAAGGCGGCACTGGACTGTTCCACCTCCCAACTGGAGGAGTTTTACTCCGACCCTCATGCTGTAGCCGGTACAAGCCATTTTTCATAAATAAAACTGTAGAAGAATGCATTTTGTTTGCAGCTAGTTACAGAGATTTTAGCATTTCTGCATTTAGAATGACTCCCAAAAATGAAAGTGAGACTATATTTCTTTGATTTTAAACCATGTTTGGTTATATTGTTGATTACAAAACCAGAATTTTGGTGCTGATCTATTTTGAAACCTGGAAGTTTTCAGTTCTGTTCACCATATTGAAGAGTACCACAGCTATAGCCAAATATTTGAAAAACCGAGTCTGAATCCACTTTGCATGTCATGTTAAAACAGAATTGGTGGTTTTCAAATCCATTTGCTGTTGGTTTTGTTTTTCCGTGATTATTTAGGAGCCCTCAAATCTTACCTGAGGGAGCTGCCTGAACCTCTGATGACCTACCAGCTGTATGAAGAGTGGATCCAAGCCTCAAAGTAAAGCACATTCACAATACTGTACATCAATGTCCATGTGACTTCAATGCCTCTGTATTCAGAAGAAAATATAGGTTTGTTAGTGAGTCTCACCAAATCTTGAATATTTGGTTAAAAACTTGCATGACTAACTTAGGTATAAGCATAAAACCATATTAGCAAACAAAGAATGAATAGCAAAGAGGTTAGCTTTGTAGAGCAACTAATTTAATAATTCTGTATCAGTCATAATTTATAATAACCAACAACCCATCGTTTACATGCTTCAATTCAAGATATACCAGCAAAGGTTTGCGGTTGGCAACATTTTTAATTGTTTTTGAAAGAAGTCTCTTATGTTTAACAAGACTGCATTTATTTGATCAGAAATAAAGTAAAAACAGTAATATTTTGAAATATTACCATTTAAAATAACTTTTCTATTTTAATACATATTAAAATGTAATTTATTCTGGTGATGCAAATCTGCATTTTCAGCTTTACTCCAGTCTTCAGTGTCACATGGTCCTTCAGAAATTATTCTAATATACTGATCTGCTCAAGAAACATTTCTTATTATCATTGTTGAAAACCGTTGTGCTGCTTGATATTTTGGTGTAAACCATTATACATTTTTTCAGGATTCTTTGATCAGTAGGAAGTTTAAAAAAACAGCATTTATTTGAAAAATGTGTAAAATATTTGTAGTATTATAAAAGTCTTTACTGTCACTTTTGATCAGTTTTAATGCATCCCTACTAAATAAAAGTATTAATTAAAAAAAAGATTGATAGAGATTTCACTAGGTTTAATGCAAGATACAACCCAAAATAAATTTTTTATTCACATCAGGATTCTTTGATCAGTAGGAAGTTTAAAAAAACAGCATTTATTTGAAAAATGTGTAAAATATTTGTAATATTATAAAAGTCTTTACTGTCACTTTTGATCAGTTTTAATGCATCCCTACTAAATAAAAGTATTAATTAAAAAAAAGATTGATAGAGATTTCACTAGGTTTAATGCAAGATACAACCCAAAATAAATTTTTTATTCACATATAATTCTTGCATGGTCATCAGATTTCATCCCTGCTGTGAATATTCCATTGTTTTGATTTCTATGATAAAATATGTGGCACAAATTCAGTAAAAAAAATACGCTTATCTGAAGTTTCTCTAATAGCTTAGTGTTTCCTTGTTATCTTCTGAATCTTGTGTGGTTGCAGCCAAATAAATAAATTTAAGGTTTTATGCTCAAACTGTATCATATTTTTACACTAAAATTATTTAAATATCTCATATAAAAAGTGATTAAATGTACTTGTTTTTCAGTTTTTGTTGTGTAGGGACAGCTGAAGAATCTCTTATGAGAGTCTTGTGTCATATATCTGTTTTCCTCTCTTTTTTCCTCTTGTTTTCTCTTGTCTGCAGTATCTCTGACCCTGATAAGAGGCTTCAGGCGCTGTGGGTGGTATGTGACATGTTACCAAAGGCCAACAAGACCAACTTTAGGTCTGCTTGTTACTACACTAAACTAACTTTTAACATTGACCTGTAATGACTGTTGTGATCGTAACAAGCTAATCTGTGTCTGTGAAGGTACCTGGTGAAGTTTCTTGCGAAGCTTGCTCTGGAAAGTGACGTAAATAAGATGACAGCGAGCAACATCGCCATCGTACTGGGACCCAATTTACTGTGGGCCAGGACAGAGGGGTGAGATACAAACCCAACAGCAATCCACTCACATAATAATAATACCCATAAAACTTCTCAAATTGCATTGTTTATATAAAATGTCATTAGTTAAATGTCCTTGTTTAGGTTTCTTGAGGAACAGTTTGACATGTTGCAGTTTTGTTGTCCTTCTAGAAGCCTTGCTGAGATGGCAGCTACTACCTCCGTCCATGTCGTGTCTATAATAGAACTGATAATCAACCATGCAAGCTGGTTCTTCCCTGAAGGTCAGAGTTGCCTCGTCTAAAACCTAGTGAGCTTCCTCACTGTTAACTGTCTAGATAGGCAGATTGCCTTACAAGGTAGCATCTTAAATGAGATGCAACCTCAATAAGTGACTCCTCACGAGAAGCGCACTAGAGATTTGACTAACGCTCACAGCTGAATATGCTGCATGCTATTTCTGCCTTTTCCAGCTCGGAAATTTCAAACGTGGAATTTCCAGCTTCCTATTGGAAAAGTGACATTTGAAGTCAGACTTGGAAACGCAGCTGTGCATTATCATGTTTATAATCATATACCTGCAAAGTACAATTTTGCAGCCATGGTCTAATGTGAGCATTAGACTCACATTTGCTAAGCTAAGAACTTGTTAATAAATATTACATTTAATTAGAACTATTTTTATCAAACTTTATATAAAATATTGATATTTAACCAGTGCTTCACTTTATTCTCCATCTTGGATTTTAGATTTATTTATTTTTAGTATTTTAACTTTTATTTTTGTATTCATTTTAATTTCATTTTAAGCTTTATTCATTTTTTAATTTTACATTTATGCATTTAGCAACACGTTTATACAAAGCAACTTACAAAACAAAAGCAATTTTTCAAAGAGCCAACAATATTCCTAATGTTGTCTGTTTATGTTTGTCTGTATAATAAAACATGGAGAAGTAACAATATTTGTAATATACATTACCAGGTTTATCACATAATCCTATGTGCTTTTGTCATTTTTATTAGTTTTTAATAATATTTCTATATAGCTTTAATTTTATTTCATAAATTATTATAATAATAATTATTTCATAATTAATTATAAATTAATTTGAGTGCTTTTAGTACCTATTTCAGTTAGTTGACAAGGCAACATTTCTCATTTTTTGTTTGAGTTTTTAAAGTTTAATTTGTTTTAAGTTTTTTTTTTTAAGTTGAATCTTTTTTGTATTTTATTTTATCAGCTTTATTAAAGTTGGCGAAAATTATTTTGAATAGTTTAAGTTTTAATTTTAGATAACTATAACAGCACTGCATGGAATTGCATTATCCATAAAAGACGCAAGCAATACTGCTTGGACCAAAGCAAAGCAGCATAATTTCCTGGAAATGTGCTTACAGTGTCTGCAAGTGTTCCCTGAATAGGCAGCTCACTAGGGATGGGGACTGAGCTTGTCTTTGTTAAAGGGTTAGTTCACCCAAAAATGAAAATTAGGCTGTGTTTTACTCACCCCCGAGGCATCCTAGGTGTATATGACTTTCTTCTTTCAGACGAATCGATATTCTAAACGTAATAATCACTTTAATGTAGCTTGCACCAACAGTTGTACACAGTAGCAGTTCCGGGAGCATGACGTATGAGGTCAGCTGCGCATGCGCCGGTGAGTCTCGTGAAAACCAACGTTTGTTAACAGGAGCAAAGGAAGCAGTTTCCTTACTTTAGCAAAGGAAAACCATGTGTGAACTAACCCTTTAAGATCAGTTAGAGTTTACTCAGTCATGGCCATGTCTTAATATTTTCTGCTCTTTTGCTCTTCAGACGTGGACTTCAACGTTTCAGGCATGTTTGCTATGCCTGGGTGCCCAGGGACCCCTGACTCAGAATCTGGAACCATAGACAGGAGGCGCCCAGGCAGCCAGGGGTCGCTCGAATCTGACACATCCCGCAAAGACAGGTACAAGTCTCATCCCCGCAATTATAGACATGACTCCAACTCCACAGTAGTGTCCGCGTCCTATGTAGTGGCCAGTGAGTCCATCACAGTCAAAGCAGACAGTCTGAGACCAGAGCTGGGGGCTGTTTAGACACATTCATTTCATATGACACATGCATCTTTTTCAGCCATGGTTTTGCTTTGTTTGGCTTTTTTTTGTTTTGTTTTACTTTGTTTTTTGTCAACCGTTGCTTATTGTATGCTTTCTGAAATAAATAAACTTTACTGAAATAAATAAACTTTATGCTCGTAGCTATGTATAAACACATTATGGATATATTTCATTATTATGAAATGGGTGCCAAATTCAGAGAAGAAAAAAGTGAGTTTTGACTCACTAATGAAGCATTAAAAGGAATGAAAGGTTGTAATGGAATTGTTTGTATTCCAGTAAGTCCAGTTCTAGTTATTCAGTGAGTGAATGCAGGAAATGTCAGCAGCGCTCCTGTCGCTTTGGTATGTTCAGAATGAGTCAAACAGCTCCTCTCCCGCAGGCCATCATACCTAAAGTTCAGAGCTTGAAAAGGTGAATGTTTTTGTGCCTCAGGTACAGGAGAGCAGAGGTGGGACCAAGTCATTGTTTTGCAAGTCACAAGTAAGTCTCGAGTCTTTGCATTTAAGTCTCGAGTCAAGTCCCGAGTCAAGACAGGCAAGTCCAAGTCGAGTTGCAAGTCCTCAACTTTTAGCTTCAAGTCTTAAACAAGTCATTAGTGCTTTTTGCCCAAATGAGTGTCTCAGTATTAATTACCATATCAAATTCATAGTAATTTATATCAGGAACGCAGGTAGAATATTTGACATACTGTAGTTCAATTTCGTGTGAGATGGATGCCCTTAGTAAAACTACTCAAGTTCAGTTTAGGGATTGTGCCAAAATAGGACAAGCAGTGAAAAAAA